AAACTGTCAAGCACCAACATGGGCGATCTGTTTTTTTTTTCAGCTCGGTTGATTTTGGATTGATATCGCAGATTTTAGAAACTGAGTAATTTTAACTTATTTCTCACCAATTTTAGTGAGATTTCTGGCTAAACCTCACTCAGTTTATTTAAGTTTGTCACCACACAATCAAGCAAAATGACAATTTAATCACCTTCTACGACATACCAGTTTTTTTGTTTTAGATAGTCGAATCGTAAATTGCAAACCTTGATCAGGGAGGGCTTCCTCCAAATACAAAAAGCCGTGCTGCTCTGGCTTTCGAAGAACGTGATTACTCACTGAGTTCGGGTAGTTTTTCTGTAAACTTACTTAAGAACAGACTCAGGTCGAGAAAATCGAAACATCGATTTTTGGTCAAGGAAATCGAAACGTGATTTATGTTGGGTCGAACAAACAAATTTTCCAATTTTTATAAAATTTCGGTCGAGAAATCGAAACAATTCGAATTTTGGTCGAGAAAAACGAAAAATGTCACTTTTGGTCGAGAAAAATGAGACATAAATCGAGCACCTCGATTCGGGTACCAGAGCCTTGGGACCGCAACACAACTCTCTGTGAGAGGGATCTTTTCATTGAGAGGAATCTTTTCTTTCAAAGATGACTTGACTAATGTTTTAAAATTCTTGTAGTGAACTAATCCTGATTTTTTATGGGTGTGATCCAAGCGAGGTAAGGGGTTCATTGCTAAAATTCGACGAAGCCCACTGCTAAAACTGTTGAGCACTAGCCTGGCCGATCTGTTTTTTTTCCAGCTCGGGCGATTTTGGATTTGATTTCATATTTTTACGCTATCACAGAGTTTAGAAACTGAGTCCTTTTTTTTGTTGCATTCTCCTTCATTAGATCTGGCTGAATCTCACGCAATTTATTGTTTCGACTTTTGATACGAAATGAACGGAATGTTTGTGCTCGGGGTGCGTTTTTTTTTCTTCAGACAAAGTTCGACTTTTTAACTAGCCACTAGTATTGTAATCCGCAGTGTGTCCTTAGGGGGTGGGGGTCTTTTCGACGGCAGGGGTCTTTGGGGTCCTACCAAAAGTAGGGTCCAAAAGGACCCATCTTTTTTAAGGACCCCAAAGTACCCTGCCCGAAATAAAAAAAGACCCCCTCTCTTAGGACACCCGACAGACAAAATACTTTGGTATTTATTTTCGCGCGGTGGTTAAATTTAATCTCTTCCAAACTTTCCCACTGTTCAACTAAATAAGTTTGAGACCTCATTAAAAAACTGACCGGCTTGAGAAGGACTAGGACGTGACAAATAATAAGAGGGCAAGAAGGTAAGGAGGACTTGATAAATAATAGATAAAGTAACATATAAAAATAAGAAAAAAAAAATAAAAACGGAATGTTGACAGGAGTACGGATAGGAGAACAGAGGAAGGGTTTACGGCCACATCCGCATGTCGTCTTCGGGATCCGACCAAGGGACATGAAGAATACTGACTAGACGCTCCATCTGAAATTTGAAGCGCCACTCAGTACTCTCGAATCCCGCACCCAGAGACCCGCACAGCCAGAAACTTTCCATGCTCCCCACATCAACACACACATTCAAATATGCCCTCCTTTTTCTCAAATGCAACGTCAATGTAATGCAGCTTAAAATTCGCTGCAGTGGTGGCCGGGGTAAACTCTACGGTCGCACCAAAGATATTTTTGCCTTCGTGAGTTCCAGGTCCCACATAAGGCAAATCAATTGGTGACTCGTGGAGACCACCAAGGGGAATATCCATCTAAACACATGAAAATAGGTTGAAATCATTAGTTAGAAATAGGAGTGAGTAAGTGGTATCTAGAAGGTTACTTTCATTTCCACTGGCTTGAAATTTAGCAGGTCGGAGTAGTGCTGGAAAAAATAAAAAATGAAATTGGAAAAATTGAGTTACTTCAAAAGACTTGGAAATTATTCATGAAATTTTTATTACTTTGAAAACAACCTATCCGGAAAACACCAACCGTCGAACTTATTTCTTAGCTGCATGTTCACTGTTCTTCTTCTCAACTACTAATGATATAAATTACGATGTTGCTATCAAGTTGAGACCCTATGGGGGTCTGATCGGTATAGACAATTCTTCTTTGGATAAATATTTAAATGATTCGAAAATTTTAAGAATGCATGCTATTTTACACGATGCCGCCGGTTTTGTCCGCGAAGTTTATAACACTGGTCCCACATACTGCTATGTTTTACCATGGAAATGCAACAGTAGTTTGATTGGTCACTTGAGTGGAATTACGTTTTGTTTGTATATCAAACTGAAACTCTACCATTTATTAGAATGCTGAAGGAAAGATCCGTTGTGTTGGATTTTGAGGGATTTCGACACCAGAAAAACACATTTATAGTAAAAGAATTAGCTAAAACAACTTCCGACTACAGTGATTCCCTAATTTTTCTACCTCCAGTTAATTTCAAATCCCTTCCAAAATCTGAACAAAAAGCCTACAACTGGCTGACAAATTATTTGCACGGACTTCATTGGGATAACGGTGATTATTTATACCTGAATTTGAACCAAATCATTCAAAGTTTTGTCTTAAGAAACCCCAATGCTGTATTCTACGCCAAAGGAAAAGAAAAAACTGATTTTTTATCCAAATAATTAGACCGCAAAGTTGTGAATCTTGACGATTTGGACTGTCCACGAGTCGAACAATTATATTTCAAGAATTTTGTGAATTGTAACAAACACCTACCGCACCATAACTCTAAAAATCATTGTGCATTAAAAAAGTCGAAAGCGTTCTATGATTGGTTGAAAAATGAGTGTCAACAACGAGCGTCAGGGGAAAGTGGAGACATAAATATCTCCAAATTCAGTTCTTTGTGCTTGGATGACACCAGAAAGTAACATAAAGATCTCATTGACCAGGATTGAACGCATTGATTGTAGAGGCCAAGTAGTTCAACGAAAAGAACAAGTTACACTTTCTGAAGAAGAGTTGTGCACTTTGAGGAGGTTCTTCCACGTGATTGACCAATTCATCTACTTTCAACGATTCAAATACATCAGTAGTGTTACCCAGCAAGCGCGGTTTTTATCTTCCCAAGCTAGTCTTAGTGCCCAAACGTCAACCAGGAGTTCAAATGGATCTAACCAGCAGTGAAATACCCAATGAGATTCAAAAAATAATAAGAGAAGATTCTGTAAAGAAAATTGTGTATCATGCCAAAACTGATCATGTCCCAGCCAATTATGTTTTGGAAGTGCACTATGATTTTGATGATGATAATAAACCTAAGGTCTCTACAGGTTATACACGATATGAAAATTATTACTGTTCAGATGCTTAATTAATTTTTTTTTTATATGAATATATATTTTTCATTCTGCAAGTTCGAGAGTGAGAGAAAGCGGTAGGAAAATTGAAATGAATGACACAGTAGTTGACGAGACTGATGGAACTATAGTTACCGATTTTGTGTATGACGAAAATCATATGGAGAAAAAAACATGGAAATTTTGCAATAACGTGACTGTACCGCGGTCTGAAGTAGTTTTCATGTCACAAATGGTGTTAATTCTGATTTTATTGGCTTTTTGTATTTTTAAACTTTCATTAACGCAGTTAAGTTGTGAAGAAACTTCAGTTTGGTTCTCAATTTTATCGGGTTTAGTTGGTTATGTATTACCAAATCCAAGAATATGAATAAAGTTATTGATACATCTACGAGACTTATTTTAGCCATCGTGGGCCCCTCGGGTTCTGGAAAAACAGAGCTGATATTCAAATTGTTGAAAGGAAAAGCATTTTATCCCAAATTTCAAGGAGCCCTATACTTTTACAAAGAGATTCAGCCTCTTTATAATGAAAAATCCAATACCCACAGCAATGATCTAACTTTCATAAAATTCAATGGCTTTGACAGTTTGCGAAACCTTGAAAACATTCTTCTAGTTTTTGATGATTCATGCGAAGAAATCAATAACGATAAAGACTTTGTCAAACTTGCAACAGCAGGAAGACACCGAGGACTAGATGTAATATATGTTAAACATAATTTGTTCCAACAAAGCAGATGGTCTCGAACAATTGATTTAAACACATCGCACATCATTCTGTTCAAATTACCTCGTGATATTCAGCAACTTGATCATCTTGGAAGACAATTGAACAACACTAAATTTTTGAGAAACTGTTATCAGCTCGCTACAAAAGACACATACGGTCATCTTTTAATCGACTTGGATCCACGTACATCCGATTGTTTGACATATTGTTCAAACATTACACCACCTGGTCCCTCAATTTTTTACTTACCAATAAACCAGGCAGAGGTTACACCTCTCACAAATGAACGCGAAAAAAATATCTATTTTGCATCTGCAGCACATGGTACAATTGAATCCCAGCCAGCTCCGAAGCTTCATTAGAAAAACAACAAATCCTCAAGTTATTTCAGTTATATGTGAATGTTTGCTCAATGTAGTCAATGGCAATGTATCTGTTAATATTCCAAACATTGAAAATTTCGAAGTGGCATACAAACTTTTAATCAGCCGAAAAACAAAACTTGAACAAAAACGAGCAATTATTCTAAAGAAACAAGGTTTCGACTTGATCAGACTGATACTTTACTTCTGCTACAGGTACTTACCATCAGCATAAAATATGGCAGCAGAAGAGTTTGTTTTAATTCCAAAACATACATATATCCGTGAGCAGCCGTATACATCCCAAGTGCTACTTAACAGTTCAATTAAACACAAAAAGCCCCAGTTATCTTACTTGAACCGCATGAGACCTCTAATACCCACGAAGCAAAACTCAGTATCGACTGAAACTCTTCCACTACCCCTTCCACCAACACCTCCCTCAACGCCTATTGTTGACCCTGGGGAACAATCAACAGGACTTCTTACAGAAGATGAGACTAATCAATATCAGGAAGGTGGGGAGGAAGAGGAGAAGCGGATTGTGGATGAGAAGGAGCGAAAGAATAATAAAAT